TTTAAATTTTAAATTTTAAATTTTAAACTTTCAATTTTAAATTTTAAATTTTAAATTTTAAATTTTAAATTTTAAATTTTAAATTTTAAATTTTAAATTTTAAATTTTAAATTTTAAATTTTAAATTTTAAATTTTAAATTTTAAATTTTAAATTTTAAATTTTAAATTTTAAATTTTAAATTTTAAATTTTAAATTTTAAATTTTAAATTTTAAATTCTAAATTCTAATTTCTATATTTTATTTTATAGATCTTGGTGTATTAATATCTTAAAAGAATTGGATCTTTTTTAAAATAATATTCACCTGCTCGTCCATGAAAAGTATAGGAAGGTTCACATTTCACCCGTGGACCTTAGAATCATATTTTACCAAAATGTTGATTTTACGTTTTCTATGTTTCGAATTAGGTGGTATATAATGTGTTAAAAAATAAGAAATTTTATAATAGGCGAAGAAAGTATTTATTTAGTAGGTGTCAATATTTAAATAAATATAATCAAACTAACTCCATTTAAAGGTATCATAAACAAATTCATAATACTTTGTATATTATTTATTTATGAATAGAAATCTTTATTTATTATTTAAAAAAATTCAATTTTAGTCCAGTCATGTATTAATTTTTAAATTTTTCAATCTAGTTATTGAAATGTATTGTTTGTTTTTAATTTTACATTGTGATTGAAATAAATAGAATCAAAACTAATTTCATTTTAAAATATTATAAACTAATACTTGTATGAAAGTTATTTAAATGTGAAAAATCATCTTATTTATTAATCATTTTTTTTATGAATGAAGCGAGTAAAAAATGAATGTTTCTCTTTAACAATTAAACTTATTCAAAGATTTTATACCAAAACATTGAATTCACATTTTCTATATTTTAAATTAAGTGATACCTTAAGTGTCATAAAAATATAAAATTTATTTATAGGTAAAGTATTTTATTTAATAGGTGACAATATTTATATAAATACAATAAAAGGAATATCATGTAAATGTACAATGAATAAATATAAAATTTATTTATGGGTGAGGAATGTATTTTATTTATTTGTATAATATTTTTTTGAAATTTTTATGATATAACAAATTCGAGACAGGTATTAAAATTTTTGTACGTAGAGTCTTGAAAACATGATATTTTATTAAAAGTTATAACTCACATGAAAAATAATTTTAATTATAAATTTGAATTCATGGGTTCAAAATAAGTAATTACTCCATATCATTTTTGAAAAAAAAGTAAAAAATGTGAAATAATGAAAGAGAGTAAATTTGGTTAAATTGTCACCTAATATGCCACATGTCAAGTTCTAATGCGCCACATGTCAACCGTTGAATATGCCAAATGTCATGTTCTTAGAGCTCCGAGTCTCATTTATATATATAAAAGATAAAAGATATATATATATATATATATATATATATATATATATATATATATATATATATATAATTTGGTGTTATGTTAACCAACGTGTAGCATTTTTATGACGAGAAACATTGATACTTCGGACCCGTTTGGCATCAGCTTTAAAGATTAATGTTAGCATTATACTATTATTACAACAAGACAAAAATGCTTATTGTTAAAAGAAGTCCGCGGTAATACTATACCCATCTCAGAATATTTAACTATTTCTTTTTGGCGCATG